TTTTCGGTGTTCATTATAATCAGCAACATACGAAACAAAATATTGAGTCTTCATGTAGAGCCATAAACAGTGTTGCTGCGGTCCGTTTTAAGTTCGTAATTTAAATTAGTTTTTCAGGAACGAGGTCAATAAACCCTATCTTTAGGGTTTATTGGCATACTGTTTGTTATTGATACCGCTGCAAAGATGCATAATCCTTTTCATTTTTTGATACCGGATTGAACTGGCGTAAGCACCGTTCCCTTGCTTCTGGTGTCCTAGGGTACCATTTAAGCAGGCCACGGCTTCATGATATTTGTTCACCTGCGGTGCATGGACGCAAAACCGCATGACTAGGCAGGTCCGAACAAGAGCCTGGAAGATGGTTTTTCATCATGCAGGTGCTCAGGTACCACGGAGCCGTGGCCTGCTTAAATGGTTCATGTGGATTAGCTTTTTCTCACGTCGGTCGTTCCACTGATTGCACTCTACACTTCTAACTGCATGCCGTATGAATGATCATCTTGCCACTTTGCAGTTCATGGCTGGTCCGTCTAGTTTGTACCGCCAGGTCGTACGGCAGACATCATCCAACTGAGTTTTTCAGTTAATAAACGATGGTGCCATCCTGCACTGAAACTTGCCTCTTGCAGTGTTAAGAGTCAATGCTGCAGATTTCTTCATATTCTGTTGTCTGGAAACCTGAACTGCTCCCCGTGCGAATCATTTCAGCTAGAGTAATGAACTTCGTCGCCTCGCTAAGAATTCATACGACATCTGATGGTACTTCTCTCTTTCTGATGGTACTCAGCAATAACTCTATTTGACGGAAACGTTCAGCATAGTGTCAGCGCTGTAATGTTCTTTTCATTCTAGGATTTCGAAGGTGAACTAGTACGTTGGTCAATTGAAGAGTTTAAGATGTGCTTAAATAACCCTTAATCGGTAAAGAGGTTGCACTGAAGTAGATTCTCTTTACCACTCTGTAAATAGCTGCTGTTAAACTTTTTCTCAAAAAGTTAATTCCATTCAGTCCGGTATTATTCACTGTGTTAATTCGGTCCATATCATAGATTTGCTAAGTGCGGAACTCATGTCGAGCATGGTTATCCCAACACAGCCTATGGAATGTCGAAAGTGGGTGAATTTGCATTGACCATGATTCAGCAGCGCCTCCTGGATAAACAAGGAAACAGCATCCTAGTAAATGGGGTAAGTTCGTTCTTTCCTTATGACTTCTTTATATTTGCAACCGTGGGTCTGTGGTATTAAATATGAATCTTTCTGACATTGCTGGGTTTAAATAGATGTTAGATATATGTAATCATGGCTTACTAATTTTCGTAATTTTGCTTATTTACTCGATGTTTTATTGAATAATAAAAGTCATTTGCTCTTGTTACCTTAGTGTTGTCCTGGATATGTTGACACAGACATGACCAGTCATAAGGGACCGCTAACGCCAGCGCAGGGTGCAGAAACTCCGGTGTACCTAGCAATGTTGCCATCGCATGCAACGCAGCCGAAGGGCCAGTTCGTCTTTCAAAAGAAAGTAATAGACTGGATGACAGGAAATGCGATTTAGCGGTATTAATCATCAATATCACTTAAAATTTCAGCGGCGTGATTTCGTTTAGCTGGCGTAAATTTTGTTCATGTTATTTTTGTACTATTTTGTGCTTAATCTTTATATTGTATATTATGAATTTATGTTGCTTGACATTGAAGTAAAACAGTTTTTCCACATTACAGTTTAATCATAATAATCTTTCGCTATGAGCCTGCCTTGAGATGAATTTCTGCATTCTCTCATGGCTTAAACCTTTTGGTGATATTCTGAACATGGCAGGGCCGAACAAAATATGTATGGTTATTAGACATAACATTGTAATCCACTATGGTGAAAACGATCAAATTTGTACGTGATAGAATTCTTTACTGCCAAGATTTCATTCATTTCCTAGATCAAGCACAGGTGGTAGAACAGTATGTATCTTTTATCATAACTGGACAAGTTATTTACTGGACTACGTTGCATATATATGCAAGTTTTCTGACGTTTCGGATCATGATCCGAATCGTTGAAGAATTTCTGTTTTAAATTTTATATGTAATCCGGTAAAGGACTTGTCGAGCTTTGAATTAAAATCCCGTAAAAAATCCATTTCCGTATTAAAAGATACCTATCATACCATAAAGACTGAAAACAAATATCGGTATTTTGACAGCAACCAATAAGTCTTACTCAATAGTAAAATCCTAGCAGTCGTCTGTCTACCAAAGTTTTAAAGCTGAATTTCAATATGCTTTTTTGGGCAGAGTCAAAATACATATAGAGGTAGATCTCTGTAAGAACAGTTCTGAATTCTAATGACAGTTATCCATATTCTAAAGAATGCGACA